TCGGTGATGTGCCAATTAGGAGAACGGCCAATGGGTCACAACGTTAATTAGTAGTTATTCAAGCTCGGCCGAATCAATTCTCAATTGGTAGTGTGAGGACAACGAGACTGATCCGCAGAGCAGCTCGCAATCACATGGCAGATCAGTGATAGTCTTCTCGTTGAAGTTCAGCGTTGGTGTAGGACAGAGGCTCCCGCCGTCTCTTTGGCAAGCCTCCTCACCGGACTCTTCGCTTCCTAGCCCGACATCCAAACAGCCCTCCCACAGCAACAGCCCAAGCTGAATAGCCCCTTCAGTTAAGCCAGCAACCCTAACCCCCCTTGAGCAAACCGATGGGATGAAAGGACACGGGCCACCAAAAAGTTGTCACCATGCACGGACCAATATTTCGAACATAAGAGACCTCTGGCCTCCCCGAATTCCTGGTTTTCTTCTCTCTTTTCAGCAAAAACCGCGTCGGAGCATAGGGAGATCAAGAAAACCTTAAGCTATCATGGGAAGCCTGCATCGCACATCGTGGAGATTCCTGTGATGAATAGCTGCCCTCAGGGAGGGAGCGTCCCGGCATAATTTTTTATACCCACCCACAGGCTTTGCCTAACACCTTTTTTTTTTCCACTATGCTCACCGCTGAAGTGGTGCCATGGAGAAGAAATTAGAGATAGTATTGTGTCTTGATGCTCTACCCCTGCTGAATATGATGATGCTGTGACGCCGTTGCTTGAGGTTGTTGTTGTCCATCGTTGCTGTCCACGGTCGCCACCGTCGTTGCTGTCTCTCGCGTCACTGTTGTTTTTCGCGTCAGTACTTTCCATCGTGTCGTAGCCGTCTATTATAACGTTGCTCTTTATGAATTTTTTACTGTCAATCACGTCGTTGCTACCCCATCGCACTGTTGCTGACCCATCGCGCTGTTGCTGTCCTATCGGGCAGTTGCTGTCCATCACGCCGTTGCTCTCCACTACGTTTGCTCTCCAATAAATTTGTGTTTTCCATCACGCCATTCATATCTATCACGACGTTGCTGTCCATATATTATTGCTGCCCGTTCCCTTCGACATTGTCTGCTCCGCGGTGCGGTCCCTTGTGTCGAAGATCACGGTCAGAAACAGGCACCTGCACGCGTCAGTCACGTCTCAACAGTTCAAAGTGGCTCAAGACGTACTCGCAGCGGGACTGAGCAGACATTAAGGCAGTGGTAAATATAACACGTAATATCTTGCAAACCTCCGCCTAGCTGAAAGCTGATGCGCGTCCCTCCTGTACTCTAGACAGATGCTGCTTCTCGTCGCGAGGTTCGCCTGTCAGAAGCCTTCAAACAAAGCTGCCCCTCCGATGTCAATTGCCTCACACGCGAAGACATATTTAGGCGCAATGTGCTGTTTGCAGACTTAGTGTGCTCTGTAGATTCTCGTGTGGCAGAAGCTCTGGAACCACCCTGCTACTCCAGCCCTCAAGTCAACCAAAGAGGGCACCGATCTTGAAGGTAGGGATGACATTATTTCTATTCACTATAGCAGCTCGACATATTGGAGCTTGGCAATACCTTGTCGTGCTTGTCAGCCAACGAGCAGGGCCTCCGAGTTTCTCTCAATCTTTGCTTCTAGCAGCCTATCTAGCCGTTGTAGACACTTCGACTTATCACGCAGCCAGTGACCAGCTTGTTTTATTTGTAGTGTTCTGTTTAACCTAATCCACCTCGCATGTTTGCTTGTCGCGCCACGCTCGTTTGCGTGATCTCTTGTCTCGGCTGCTGGACGCATCTGGCTGGTTGGAATCTGCCTCGGAACCTGGCAGCGCTTCCACGCTAGCAAGGGTATCAGAGGGCAAGACAGTCCGTCTTTCACATTTCGCTGGGAGCTGGACGCATGGCTCTCGTTTGGGCCGCCACACAAACCCCACACCTACTAGCAGTGCACTCTCCCAGCCAGGCATTGGAACACCAGGAACCTCGTCTATACGCGGCGGCATTCTCGGAATCCATTCAAGATCAGGTGAGAGTCTACCTAAAAGCCCGCTTCTGATCCGAAATGTAACCTATCGTGTCCGATGTTACCCACTAGATATGCCACCGTCCACACTGCCATCTCCCGGTCTTCGCACGCAATAGTTTTGGGATCGTCGCGAATGCGGTACTCGAGAAGAGCTAGCATGCTCCCAACCGGTGCTTCGATCGCAGCGCCAGCAACATCTAGAGCAGATGGAGAATGTTCCTAAATGTCTCTCTTGCTTTCGTTTCTACCAGCGACATTTCAAGCCCATTTCTTCGCCGAGCCACCGAGGGGAAGCACAGTGGCCAGACCTTGCAAAGCAAAATCCCAACATGATTGAAGCAATAGGCTTCAAGATCGCCAAGTCAAAGAGAACAAAGCAACAAACCGCTCCCGACTGCTGGAGGTCAATTTCGCCTGGCCTTTCGGACAAATTACCGGCACCTCCCGCCTCAAGCATGGCTACATCCCCAAGCGGGTCGACAAGAAATTCCTTTTTAAGGCTCTCTGAAAGTGTTTCGTGAGGGAAATAGACTATAGAAAGGCCAAATAGGATCTGGTCGGTGTCAAGCTGCCTGTGTCTGCCAAACCGTCTGCGCTTGACTACAGGAAGGCCGACTAGGAGCTGGTCGGTGTCAGCCTGTCAAGCTACCTATGGCTCACCGACCACTGATAGCCCCCATGTCGCCTACAGCTGTAAAACCGTGGAGAGCCTTGACGCTAGCAGCCGAGACCTAGTCGTATTACTACAATGTGATCCTCGACAGCGGATACTCTAGCGCGGACAGAAAAGACACTCAGAACATCACCTACGCCGGCGAGAAGACACATAGCTTCGGTGAGTCTAGCCTTTCTGTCAGGTTTGATATTTCTCGATTTCGAACAAGCTTAGGTGTTCATAGCCATTCCTTCTCGGAGTTTAGACCTTGAAAGATACCGGTAAGTACATTATCGAAACATTGATCTTTCTCCGCTATACTCTCTCTGGACTTTCCGTCGTCCCTGAAAGTAAACTCGCTAACGTCTTTTCAATTGTCTTCTAGTATTTGATAGTACCTCATGATCTGACCAACCGATATACCTCATCCGATCGACCGATAATACCTCCTCATCTGACCGACACAACCTCCCACCTAACTTACCACAATAATACGGGGTACTTTAGTTTTGTCACCCCCCGATTCTCATAAGTCGGTTTCCCCAAGACTTCGTGTTTTGGCCCTGAGCTAATTGCTGCCGTCACCTTCGAGATCAGTCGCGCCACCCAGCCAATGGACGAAAGTCGTGTTGGAAACTTTGGTTCCAAGGATGGTCCTCCTGCCAATGAGCTCGCAAGATCTGGACAAGAAGTACAAAATACTTCATAAGAGGAGGTTACAAAAGCTCGCTTCGATTCTAGGCCGAAGTCCTGTAACATCAGATCCAATCAGCTTCAGCTCAACGGCCGTCACATCCAAGCCGTCCTGCAAGGGATTGTTCTGCTTCAAACGAGCGGAATAATGTGCTGATATTCTGTACAACGGCGGCCACATTCTCGACGAAATGACAAATATCGCATTGTTCTCCCCAGAGCAAGCCTGTCAGTCTGGGCAAGGTTGGCAGGACACGGAGATTTGAGAACAGCGAGCAACACATCATACCTGTCAGCCTCCACACAACTTCGCGGAAGCAACAGCCTTTCGATCATCTCCACAACTGCCAGAGACCGCACGCTAGCCTACCGGCAGGGCTCTCTCGTTCCTGCCAGAGTGGCTCCCAGAGGCAAAGTGGACCTCTAGAGCCAGACTCCATCCATATCCACAGAACCAGTGCTCAATATCCATCAAGCAAGACACACTAGGTTGTATAGTGTAGCGGTCATCACATCGGATTCTGATTCCGGGAACCCCGGTTCGATTCCGGGTACGACCTCATATCTCAGTCTGCTTTTTGGGGGGGACTTTTGAGGGGGCGGCGACTCTAGAACAGCTGGAATTCATGTGCCGTGGTCGGGACTACCGTCTTCTAATTGCTCAGTGTTCCCTGCGGGATCTATTGAGACTAGCTAATTAGAACCCGCGCTCAGACTACGATTTTGTACCTTAACCGATGAACTTAGGTACCGGCTATTTTATTATTAAAGTTATTATATTTTGATAAATATATTACATCTTGTTTTGCTCACTTATTTTAATTTCCTGTGCCGTTTTCCTTTTTTCCCTTTTATTTTAATTTTAAGCTATATTTTAACTAATAAAATATTTTATGAATATATGGAATTTAGGTAGCTATATATCTATTTGCTGCCATCCCCTGAAAGGCTTTGATGAGGAAACCTATCACCTGCTTCTGATGCCGGAATGGAGGCATCCAGGGTCACATGACTGGCACGTGTAGAAAGCAGGTAGATAGGAAGGCTTGTGGAGTGTCCCCCCACTCCTAGTGGGTGGCTCAGGCTACAAGAAGAAGGTGGGGCTCTTGCACTGCAACCTCCATCAAAATAGGTTGTAGGCATTTAGAGCTTCCTTTTTTCTTTCTTTTTAACAATACATCACCTACCTTCATGAATAGCCATGGCTTTCTACGATCCAGGTGATCCCCCTTCATTTTATCGCCGTAAAAATTATATAATTATAACTTCCTATTAATTAACTAAAAAAATACGTAGCGCTTACGTACGTATTGGGGGGATAGGTAATAAATACTACGCAGGTATTATTAATACTGAGGGGATATATGCCCTGTCCGAAATATATTTATCGAGGTACCATGCAATTCGAAGGGTCACCATGGACAAGGATGATGATTCCTTCCTTCTCGTCGACAACAGCTTGAAGCGAGCGAACGCTTAATCATAATCGGCAAGCGCGAACTCGGAATCTTTTGACACGCCTTATACCAACAATAATCCAAGTCAAGCAAGTTGTGCATCGCGGACAGACGGCAGGCCAGGCGCCAAGCATCACCAAGCAAAGCCTGCACAGACTATCCACAAAGCCCCGAACATCGAAATCGTAAAAAGAATGGTTTCGATCGAGCTGGGATTCGAACCCAGAGCCTTTGCCAGGTTCAGATTATTGACTTAGGCGAGTCATATCACCGGAAGACAACGCGCTACCATTGCGCCACCCGACCAATTTGTGGGTTGTTTGATGAATGTTTGGCTCGGCAGTTTTGTCTTTCTGCTTTCAGTGGACAGAGTGTCAAGGGGGCTCCGCTGCATAAACTGTGGACACTTACATTACAAGAAGCTTTGCGGCATCCATTCATCCATTGCATGGAAGAACCTTGCTGCTTTTGACACAGGGGAGAGTGGAGGCCCCCTCTCCGCTCCGGTGCCAAATGACATTAGTTCAATAAACCCCTTGCCGAAACAACGGCGTTTCGAACTCGGCATGGGAGCGGCCTGTTTGCTTGGGTCCCTGGATGGAGTTGTACAGTTGGACCCAAGTCAGAAACGACTCTATAGTAGAGAACGAAAGGGAATACCCAGCCTGCCACAGTTTTGGGTTGATGTGAGCGTTTTTAAGTCCGCTTGCAGTAGCCGTTGGGAGTGCCGGCTTGCCAGCTAGACAAGCCTCTGCAGCTGAAACGCATGGACGGCCTTCTCTAGAACTGCAAAGTTCCCTGAGAGTCTTCGATGTTACCAGAATTTCTTCGTGGCAACATGCTAGCCAGAGACCTACGTCTGCCACTGGGAACGGCACGAAAGAATATTCTCACCTTCGTCGTTTAGTTTCGCGCTCGCCTCGTAATCCAGGGCCTCTATCGCGCTGGTGTGCGACACGCCAAGCCCAATCTCTCGTCCCTCGCAATCGAAGAGGTCCCAAACAACGGCGTCTCAGAAAGCTATTAGCTTCGTCACCCGTATCCCTGAAGACTAAGGAAGTCGCCGCGCTGCTACTCTACGACTTACCAGTCTCGGTTTCTGGACTACCGGTACTCAATTCTGTGCGGCATGTTGAAAGCGCGCGATTCACAACTCTGTTGTCAGTGATGAGAGGTTCAATTTCTTGGACGAGCCGTCGGTAGAGAACACGAACATCCCTAGCTCATGTTAGCTGTTTCGCTCATTACCTCTGAGTTCAGCACATTTACATCGAGACGCATTCGCTGTCTCTGTCGTCTCTGGGCACCATCCAAACCCGAACAATCAAAGGACGTTTGAGTTCACTCACCGATATTTGCTTTGGATTCGTCAGAACAAGGGAAGTTCCGTTTTTAAGGAGGAGATTCAGACATCTTATGTTAAACAAATATGGGGTGGAAAGGAAAAATATCTGTCAGAGAGCACACCATGATCTCTAGAGTGTCATTGCACCGCAAACAAACCCAGAACTAGTTCAACTTGAGCGACATGATGAGAAAAGTACATTCGCAAGAACGCGCCTTCATCAAGACTGAGGCAACAAATATAATTCCACGCGAACGTGTGTTGTTTTCTCAGCATAAATGCCACCACCACCAAAGAATTGGCCTATGTGAGGCAATTTGGACACAAAGTAAAGCATAATAAAAGTTGACAAGATGGAGCAAGTGTGCCAAGGTCACTAATTGGGAAGGAGGGGAAACGGGAGAAATATAATATCCAAAAGGAAGAAAAAATATGGAAAGCCAAAGCAAATTTTCACTGAGCCGCAGTCCAGCTATAATTAGTGGTAAGTTAGTAATAGAACGGTAAGACTACGGCTATGCAGCTCGAGACCTCCCGAAGGAGGAATCGAACGGGAGTGTTCTCCCGCCTTCCCAATGGCAATAAATGAACACGGTACTACTGAAATCTCCCTCCATGGAATTTTATTACCAAATACTAAATTAGAAAGGCTAACGTTAGCACAAATGGTAAGTCATAGAATAGATAGGCCAGGAAGAATTGGGTGAAGCGGGAAATGTCCAGGGGAAGATGACTGCCGACGTAAAGAATAAAACCAAGTAAAGTAATAAGAGAATCGGTGACGGAGTGTGGCGGGCTGCCCGTTCACGATGATCACAATCACTTAAAAATAAAACGAAGGCAGGTAATAAAACAAGAACTCGTGAGCTGTCAGTGAAAGGGAAGTTTCAATAGAAGAAAGGAGTAAGATCTTGAATGAGAAAGACGATCAAACATTAGCAAACATCAAAAGGGAAAAAAGAATGTATGATGTTATCCGGGGAAAAAAGAAACCCAAAAGAGAAGAAAAAATGTTGTGCCCACGCCCGGATTCGAACCAAGGTTTCTGGAAGCCAACCGCACGACGCGTATCAGTCCCTTCAACTTCCGGGGAAGAAGAAGAATCAACCATTCATGCGGTCTGTACGACCCCAGCGCTTAACCACTGAGCTACGCGAGCTTTTCGTCTTTTTTGATGCAAGGCAAGAGCGAGAAAGTACCCTATGGACTGACCAGCCAGTGAGCCAGCCAAGGGCGAGGGTGGAGCCGGCCGGTCTTGTAGTAGAGGGAGGATTAGAACAGTGAGAGAGATAGCCGATGCCGAGGTGGCCGGCCGCATATCGTCCCATCGACGAGGCAGGCACGGCAGGAGCGGCTTATCAGCACCCAGCAAGGTCTCTTTTTATTGGCTTGCGAGGGGCTTCCAGGTTTCTGGCACAAGTAGCGCGCTCTTTCCTAAGGCCGTTAACAGAACATCTGGGCACCTAGGCAGTGAACCATGCATGCCCTGCGTCCCGTCTGTATACCACGGACACAGTTGCAGAAATTTCCATTGCACGGTGGCCACAGTTCATCCCAGCGTATGTATGTGTGCCATTCCAATACTTTTGAAATCGACATATGAACCTCGGGAAGGAAGGTAATGGGAGATAGTTTTTCAGCACGGGTACTTCAGTCTGGGCAAATCTATGTGGATAGGAACAAGAAAGAAACATCACCTGCACCGCGTAACACTCCATAAGAATTGCAAAGTCAAATGGGACTAGACTTGTTTCTCGCTTCTCGTGACTTCATTTCTAGCGTATGTTTGGCAGCTTAGTGGGACAATCTACTTCCATCCCTTCCCCCACCCAGTACACATAGCACCTCGAGCCGCGCGTCCTTCCTCCACATCACTTACACGCTGGCTATCAATAGCACCCTAAGCCACCCGTCCAGTCATCGTGCCAAATTTCTCCTTATAATTCCGTTTGATGTTCAGTTGTAAGCTTCATATTCCTCTTCCTCGCAAGACAGTGGAGCCCCGGGCCAGCCATGTGTCTTGGGAAGGCGGCGGTGCGTTGGAACGCCCTTGATGCCGGCGTGCCAAAGGGGTTCCCGGAACCGGTCGTCGTCGATGTACATGATGGGACGAGACATCTAGAACTGTTAGCGACCTGTACGCCAATTGAGATCTGATACCATGGAGCACCTTACCGCTGGAGCAGCGCCGGATCTCGTGGAGGTGGTGGTTACCACTGATGGTGCGCGTGCCGTCGTGGATGGGCAGGCTGGGGAGAAGTCGTTTCATGGATTGTGTGACCATTGTTGGGGTGTGAAGCTTGTTCGAGGCCATGTTGATTACCGCATAGACAAGGGTGGCCGCCGAGCACCCGCAAAGAGGTGCCCAGGCGAACCCGGACATCCCCCCCGCGGGTGCTCGGCCCTGCCCGGTCCCGGCCCGACTCGAGTGAAGATCGAGTCCCCCTGCTGCTTGGGAACGGTCAGCGAGATGGAGACTTTGGAGGCCGTGAATGATGAAGGACAAATGGACTAACCTTCGGCCTGTAGGGAGGCGCTTCGAGCATGACCGAGCTGTTACGGACTTCTGGGCCAGACAGTCCTTCCCTGGGTGAGGCCAGGCAAATTAACAGGTTGGCTGCCGTGTGGAGAGAGGGGGACAAGGCCAGGCGAAACTGGATGCAAAGTTAGAGAAGCCGGCTACAGCGGGGTGAATTAATTGGCAAGCAGGGGAATCATGGGGCAAACTTACAATTTTCTTTCGATCATTAAACCGGTCCCGGCTAGCCTCGCAGAGGCTTCGCCCCCTCGGTGCCCGCGACCTCTGAACGAGAGAATTGTGGAAGAAGGAATTGGAAACCAGGTCGCAGGCCCGAAGGCCATAAATAATGTGCCGTATGTGGATACGCCCACCTCATCAGAGCGCGTGACCGGTGCACCTCCCCACCTTCAGGTTGCATCCCGGGTGCGAGTTTCCTGCATTGGGCTTTGGCGGGCAACGATCTCGGCCACAGTTGCTGATAGGGTAGGTACCTAGGTGCCTAACAAGGCATCGTGACCCTGGGTGCAGAGATACGAGCCAGGAAGGATGCCCGGGTTGCGAAAGGAGCAGGCAGGGCACTGGTCTTCAAGGGAGGTTCTATTCGAACTGTGAACTGATTGCAGAACAGCCCAACTTGTCTCGGGGGGATCATATCAGTCTCAAAGAACAGCAAGACTTAACTACCATTGGCCGAGTAAAATATACAGAGCTAGCAATCTACATTAAAACATCTCTGCTCGGCTACTTTTCACTCCCCTCAGATGTATATACCGCTACATATGATTGGCTTCAGAAGGCTTGGGACATCTAAAGAACCAGTCTTGACAGGGCATCTTGAATGCAGATCCGATTCCGACCAACCCAAAGACAATAGGGGACGTATTCGTCCAGGGAAAGCCGAAACTATCGGGACCCTTCTCGGCGCCGGGGTTTCTGCACCCGGAAAGAAGGCGAACGGCACCGAGGCATGTACACTGGGGGTGGAGGACGGATCAGGCTGGCAGTAATCTCTCCTTCGGCCCAGCTGCTGGCAGCGTCCTGCGCCCGTGTCGCTCGCGGAGCCTCTTGATCTCCCGGGGGCGAATGTGCCCCTGACGGGGCAGGTCCCCGAGCTGCTTCTCCAGCCAACGAACCATTTTCCGAGGGTTTGTTGACGTCCTTGGCGGCGTCAACTCGCGCGTTGTTGAAGTCTGAGCAGGCGGCGGATGGGCTCTCGTTTAGAGCCGACGGTCCTTCCGGGGTTTCAAGCGCCATCGTTGTATTTTCAATCAGAGGTGGCGGCGTTTATATTGGACCTTCGGTGAAAAGGAAATGATGTTTTATGCGGTGGGAAACGTGCCGAGTCTAGGATTATATTCCAGGCGGACGGGCTACTACAGGATGGAGAATCAGCACAAGACCTCAATGCTGGAAAAAGGAAAGGGGAGAAAGGACGGAAGAAACAAATAAGAGGGACCAGTTAGTAGCTTACATGGCTGTCTGTTATGTCTCGTTCTTCGAGGGCTGTTTCTTGCGGTGGGAAATGTGTCGGGAACAGGAATGTATCGTGGACTGGATGGAGGAAAGGGAAAGCGGATCGAGGAGCACGCCGACCCGACACCACCTACCTAACTGTTGGACCCTCTCATGACCTTTGGCGGGCGGATTACTCAGCAGTGTTGTCTAAGTTAGGGACGCGTGCAAAGCACAGTGGAAATTTCAGGTGCTGCTCCTGCCCCAGGAGTGTTCAGTTCCCAATTTTGCTGCTGAGCTAGGTGCACAATTTCTCCTCCACCATTCACATCTCTCACGCAAACGCCTCGCAGAATTTGTACAACCTCGCACATATGTGCATGCAAGCCAAGGTTATCTTCATTACAACTTGCTAGCCACACCCACCCTCTCCAACACCTCGTCAGCAATGGCCCGACCAGCAGCACGACCCGAGAATATGCAGCCACCCAAGAATGTCCCCTCGAGCGAACTGTAACCATGCACACCACCACCGCCGAACCCCGCCACCTCGCCCGCCGCATACAGACCAGGGAACTCGGTACCATCCGCCTTCATCACATTGCTGCTCAGGTTGGTCTCGATGCCGCCGAGTGTCTTGCGGGTGAGCAGGTTCATGCGCACCGCAATCAGCGGGCCATGCTTCTTCGTGTCGAGCAACTTGTGCGGCGGCGCCACGCGGCTACGGCGGTCGGGCCAGTAGGTGCGCGCGCTGTGGATCAGCATCGTTTGAGCGTCCTTCGAGTACGTGTTGTCGAACTGGCCGTCGCGCGCCTCGATCACCTCCTTGATCTTGGCCGCATCAAGCTGGACCCCGCCCGGCGTCTTGCTCGCCAGCTCGTTCATGCCCGTCACCAGCTCTTCGAGGTTGTCGCGCACTACAAAGTCAGAGCCAAACTTTGTGAAGTTCTGCACGGGAATAGTGCCCTTGGAGCTGAAGATACGCTGCATCATGACCTGCCAGACGCTCTTGTTGGTCACGTCTGGGTTCTGCTCCGAGCCCGACAGGGCAAACTCGCGTGCCACGATGGTCTGGTCCGTGATGAACCAGGTATAGTCGTATCCGGTGCTGCAGATGTGCTTGAGCGTTGCTAACGTGTCGCAGCCAGGGAATAAGTACGGCGGAAGTCTCTTCCCCGTGGCATCGAGCCAGAGAGATGACGGAGCCGGCAGCACTCGGATACCGTGGCCAGGCCAGATGGGGTTCCAGTTGGCGAGGCCTTCGGTGTAATGCCACATCCTGTCGCGGTTGATGACGTTTGCCCCGGTGCTCTCGGCGATGTCGATCATGCGGCCGTCGACATGGGCAGGCACTCCAATGACAAAGTTATCAGGGACCTTGGGCCCCAGACGGTCGACGGGCCAGTTCTCCTTGACCTTGTCCACGTTGCCGCCGATGCCGCCAGATGTGACCAGCACAGCAGCGCCCTTGATCTCGAACTCGCCGACCGCCTTCCTCGACGACTTGACGCCCCGCGGCAAGTCCTCGTCCTCCAGAACACGCCCCTTGACGCCAATGGCTCGTCCCGTCGTCTCGTCCACCAGGATCTCATCCACCACATGGCGGAACTTGAACTCGACGATGCCCTTCTTCTCAGCTACCTTCACCGGGTCAGCAAACACGCGCACCACCTCAGGACCAGTCCCCCAAGTAAGGTGGAACCTGGGCACCGAGTTGCCATGCCCATCAGCCCGACCGTCTCCCCGCTCCGCCCAGCCAACGTTGATGAGGAATCCCAGACCGCGCGCTTTGACATAGTTCTCCATCTCGTCAGTAGCGAAGTTGACAAATGCTTCGGCCCATTTCCGCGGCCAGTAGTCTTCCTTCTCGCGGTCGAAGCGGGCCGACCCCATCCAGTCGCGCATGGCCAGCTCGCGCGAGTCCTTGATGCCCATTCGACGTTGCGCTGCCGAGTTGACGCAGAAGATACCGCCCAGCGACCAAAAGGCCTGCCCGCCGAGGTTCGCTCTGTTCTCTTGGTCCAACAACAGCGTCGGCACCCCCCGCTGCGACAGCTCGAACGCTGCCACCAACCCCGCGAGGCCCGCCCCGACGATGATCACAGGCTGCTTGTCGCTGCTCGCGCCCTCCTGTAGGCTGCTGCCGGTGCTTTTCGAAGCCATGTTCTCCATCCGCCGTTGACAGA